ATATATCTGCAAGATGTTTGTTGGATCAGGTTTAGAGGTTTTTTTTTTTTTACAAGTTCAAAGAATTGACTTTGCCTGAGCTGCCGCTCATAGGTCCTGTGGGGAATCACTGTCTCTGTTAGCTTAGCTGGGCCTCCAATGTTGATAAAACCAGTTGTAAACAAAGATAGAGGTTTATTACTGAAAAAAAAAACACAGAAAATGGGAGATACTGAAGCACAAACGAGCTTGAGCTTTTGTTAAATTTTTTTCAAGTTTTTTCTGCAGAAAAAGTGTTCGCCTTTTCCTTTCCTTAACTTTAAAAAAAAAAAAATTTTTACACCAACAGTTGATTTCAATGTGTGTGAAGGCTGGAGAACGATCGACATGTGATGATGTTTTCAACCTGAAAGATGCTGCAGCCCTCCTTATTCCAGTCTGTACAAAACGACAAGTATGTTGTTTTTCAAAATCGATACAAACCCCGGCTGTATCAGAAATAGTATTTCCCACACCATACCCGACCCTGACAAATAGCAATTCATTCTGCAAGGAAAGTGTCAGCTTTTATGACCTTCCTAGATGCAGCCGTTCCCTTGATAAACCTGTCTGTCAGTACATTTTTTTTCAGCCAAAAGCAATCTGATACTTTGGTGAAAAATTTGGATGACGCCTTTTTCACGAAGTCTATCTTTCACTTCTCTTTTTCATTTAAAGATTTTTTTTCCCCAAAAAAAACAGGAAACCTGATTTTAGCATCAGTTTCCAGTTATTATCGCCTGACTTTTCTGACAAAGCTCAGGTTGTGGCAAATCTTCCTAAATGTTTAGAAGGACTATAATATTTATTTAATAGCATGGGATTTCTAACTGATGTGTTTTGGAAGAATCATGAACATCTTCATCTCTTCCACTCTATCGCTTAAAGTGTAATTGATTAAGTCTGTGATCACTTAATTGGATCATGTGGCGGGTGTTACTCTTCAATCTGCTTTTAATAGATTTAAGGAAGCTTTCACAATGGCTTTCACTCATTCTGTGGCTGTTTATTTTATTTTTTTCTTTCAAAAGATTTTTATATTTTATTTTAATTGTAGTCTGAATTGTTTTGCCATCTCTTTCAGATGAGATCAAGTAATCCGTCCACATTTTAAACAATACTGTAGGGTGGAAAAAAAAAATAAAAATCAATACCTAAACTAAACATGAACCCATTGCTGCTTCACTTGCCATCTTGTTACAATACTACTGTTACATATATAACATTAGCACAATCTGCTAAATGTCTCTTCATATTTTTAGGTTACTAAACCTTCAGGTTCAGGTTCAGTATTATGAATCAGGGACATCCTTATAGTGTTTTCATCTGGGTATCAATGCTGTAAACTGATTAATGGGGGTCTGTTATAAATACTGTACAACACCCAGGGTGCCATGTGGTGTGTAATTTCGTCCTGCTCCAGCACTGTCTCAAGAGTAGACAGTAGGAATGAAGCTGAGCCTTACTTATTTTATGAGACACCTAAACATGATCAATTTTCCTCATTCTTATCCTCCAATTGAAATGATACACACGACTTCTCCTTAAAAGGGATATTATATAAGAATTACTGCCATCTCGCAATGAGATGGGTGTATATCACTCAAACAAACACTATAGCCACCTAACTGGCTCATAGACATAATGCGGCAACCGTTTTGCATCAAATAGCCTGGTTAATACAAATGTAACCATATCATCTGTAAAGTCCCTTTCATCTGGTATCTGCTATAACAAAAATCCAGTGTTTACTACAGATTTGATAGCTATCAAAACTATGTAAACCTACAATTCCGGACCAGCAACATTGACATATGTCTGCAGGATCTACTGTTATGCTTTCTATAGTAATGAGCAACACTGTCTAATTAAACCGAATGGAAAAACTTAGCTTTGGGCCAGTTAGGGAAAGACGGTGTTGCAGTCTGGTGGCCTAGTTGATAGAGCTTGGAATCCTGAGGTTGTAAGCTGGAAACCCACTCCAACACGATGCCACTCTGACTCTCTGAGCAAGACCCTTAACCTCTGATTGTAATCCATCTCAAGGGAACATTTAAGTTTAATGCAGAGGTAAATTTCTCCAATGTGAGATCAATAAAGTACCATAAAAAAATAAAGTGTTGTAGGACAGTAAAACATGGCAACTTCAGTGTCCTTTTAAAATCTTTCATTTTCATTAGCTCCTTCCACCTGGAGAATCTTACCCAATGTTTATCCTCATTTCTTTTATGTCTTCCGTTTCGTTGTCTTTAAAGTCATCTTTTTTGCTCTCTTGGGGATGGCGCACCTTTTCTCGTGCTGCTGCTGCGTATGCATGGTCCTGTATAATGATGCAGTGGGGCAGACTTTCAGTTGTTGAGTTAGCGTCTCCAAATGAGCTTCATCGTTGCCTCTCAATCACACTAAACTGCCAGCAGGGCGGGGAAAGTGTTTCTGCCTGTTCTATTCTATCCTTGCCAGTATCTGTACTTCAAACATGGCTGACTTGATAAAGGGCGCTTCGAAAATGAGTGATCAGCCTTAGGCATAAACTTTTATAAAATTCATAGTTTATGAAAATGTATCCTATTATTAGTGGATGTAATATAACACCAATAATAACACGTATAAATGGAATTTTAGGCAGCATAAAATAAATTGTTACACAATGTCCCTTTAACAGCAGTAAAATACAACAAAAAAGCCAAGATAACTTACTACTTAGGTGTGTTTTTAGAACTCAACATTTTGAGTTGGTCTTCTCCTTGGATAGATCCTTCTTCTTGTAGTAAAACAAGCACCTAATTATTTAAAATACACAAGCTGGTCAATTCTTTAAATTGTTTAAATTCATTAGGAGATGGAATCATTTTCATTACAACCATTTCAGTGTCTAGGCACTGTGTTGTGCTTAGACATAATTGTAACAATAAATTAGGCTAATTCGCTATTTCTATTTTTGTGTGATGCTGTGCACCTTGGCTAATGCCATCATGGTCCAGATGTTATAATGACTAAATAAGACAGGTGAGAGTGAGCTAAAGAAGTTACCATGGCTCCTCCCATATCATCAGGTCCAATATAATGGGTAAATAGACCAATGATATGCTATATTAGGGAATATTGTGACAGTAATTAAATATTGATAATCAAATAAATATGCCTTTGTACATTAAAAAATCTTACAGTTCATAGTAACCACACCATAGGTCTGAATTTGAGGCAGACTTTTTTTAATAGATGTTTTCTGAAGACAGCAGATTATTGTAGAGCGAACCAATAGAATTGACAAAGACTCCTGGAGAGGGTTTTGAAACATCGTTAGAAGAACTTTTGAAAAACGTCCAGTTGCCTCTGACTGCAGCCTGTTTAGTGAAATAGAAAACAACTCAATGTTATAATGCATTTTGTTCCATATTTATATATTCTGCACTCTTTATTTATTCTTATTTATTCTGCACTGCACTGAACCTTTCCATATCAATGCCTTTTGCACCATTACTTTTAAACTGCTTTCCTTTTCACATACACTGTTTACATTCTGATCACTGCTACACTTTATAAATGGCAGAGCTCATTTCAAATTTGTAAGCTGATCATTCACTGTTGTAAGCTGTATGCATTGAAATTTTGTTCTGTGTACACTCTGTGTATACAAAATGACAATAAAGTTTGTCTAAGTCTAAGAGATAACTAAATCTATAACTAAACAAAATGGTTCATACCAGCCTAGACCCCTCTGTTGCTTTACTAGTCATACAGAGATTGGATTAATGGCTGAATATGAGCATGTATTATTGAACAAAACTTTAAATGTCATCATAAAAAATAAATAAACCTCTTTTTTGCACCCTTAAAAAGCTTACCAACAATAATAAAAGAGGAATTGTTGATAGAACTAAATGAAAAATTAACATTCCCAGGTTGAGGGAGTAAAGAAGGCTACAGCTTTTAAGTAGAAATTGTGTTTTATCTTTGCTCTGGTTTCCCAGAACATTTACTTCCAGAACCTAGAGTTATATGGTCGACTTAACCTCACAACCCTGAGAGCTGACTGCTTTTTACACTTAACCACAGTGCTACCAATATCACAGACAACTGAAATCACTCCACTACAGTAGAATTTAGTGCTTGCTTAAAGCAATCAGCATAAACTCTTATTCCGCTCAGGTAATAGGAGGCTCACTGAATTTCTGATTCATGCAAAAAACCCATATAAGGCCGTCAAGAACACTCTCAAGTTCCAAAAGATTTTAAATGTTGTTATGCAGACTTATTTCTTATGTCAAAGAGGCTTAAGGAGGTATTGCAGTCTGACTTTAATCTAGGATTGCTATGAAGTAGGCTGTTGATACAGTATGGAAATTCCTTTATTGCTGTCACAAATTACAAAACATTTTAGTTTCTCTTTCCTGGCTTAGATGTTTTGTACATTTTTGCATTCTTAATTATTTGTCCATCCATCTTTTAAAACCATTTTATTTTTCCTTGTTCTTTCTAGACTCAGTTGTAAAAAAAACAATTTCATTTTAACCTGATGAGAATACAGTTAATGAAACTCACTTGAAAAAAATATGTATTGTAAGGATTTTAATCTTTTATGTTCTGCAAAAAAGATCTTTGTGGGTAATTCTTAAAAAAACATTTCACCATCTTTCTTGAGATTAGCATTAAGCATTAAATGCTCGTTTCTGTTTTTGCTGTATTGTAAAGAGATTAGGTGGGCTCCCAGGTTTCAGATTGACTATTTCTCTACCAAAGAAAAATATTTCCACTTGCTAAATCTCTGATGGTTTTAAAAGTTGCCTTTAAAAGCTTCCAGTTGCTGATTTCTTAATGCATTACTCTCATCTCCCTATCTCCCACCTGGATGATTTGTTATATTGTTGTAATTCTTTTTCCACAGTATCGGTAATGAATGCAAATTATTTACCATTTTTTGTGCACTCAGAGACTCATAATGCTTCCAGCTATTCATTACACATTCTTCTTTCATGTCTTAGGATATTGGGATGCTGAGCAGAGTGGAGGCTGTACCTAGGCTGCATGCCTAGCTAACCCATGGAGAACTGACAGCAGCAGTGCTGGATGGAGGCCAAATCACTGGATGGCGAAGGCGAGGAAGCACACAGTACCGTGGATAACTCGCATTGTTTGTTCTCTTCCCTAAACTGATGCAGTTGTAGATGCAACTTGATTGTAAAGAGATGGAAAAAAAACAGATCAGTATAGGAAGTCAGTGCTGAACCATCTGTGCTGCACTTAGATTTGAAGTGCGGGTTATTTTTTGCCAATTTTAGGGCTCTAACAAAAGCAGTGATAGACACCAGATAATACTCCCTGATTAAATTGGAGAAGACACAGACGCCAGCAATAGAAAGCAGAGAGGAACCATCATGGGCAGCAGTAAATGCAAGGTTTCCTGGCTTTTGTTTTTAGCAGGCTTAGTTTTAACAGGAGTGGCTTTGGAATATGAAGGAGTACCCGGTCAGTGGACTCGCTTTGCTCAGTGGGACGCAAAGACAACAGGTGAGCTCAGCTTCATTCTGAAGACCAACATCAGCAAAGCCCTGGTCCTCTATCTCGATGACGGGGGGAACTGCGACTTCTTGGAGCTCCTGATTGCAGAGGGCAGGCTACAGGTCCGCTTCACCATTCACTGCGCTGAGCCGGCCTCTTTGCACACGGAGACATACGTCAGCGACCAGCGCTGGCATAGAGTCCTCCTCACTCGCAATTACAGAGAAACACGATTGGTGCTGGACAATGAGGAGAAAGTGGCTGAGGTGAAGTCCAAAAGGAAAGAGATGGTGGTCGCAAGCGACCTTTACGTTGGTGGGATCTCACCCGACGTTCGTCTCTCCGCTCTCACATCGAGCACCGTCAAGTACGAGCCCCCATTCCAGGGCTTTATAACCAATCTGAAAGTTGGAGACGCTCTACCTGTGCTGCTGGATGGTCAAGCCGTGCATAATGATCTGGAGTACATATGTGACACACACTCTCCCTGCAGCAACAAAGGCCTGTGCTCCGTCAGTCAAGGAGAAGTCCTCTGTGAATGTATCAATACCATCTATAGGGGAAGGTACTGCCAAGAAGGTGGGTACATTTTATCCCTTCTATTTACAGCACAGTGTGTTTTAAACAGTTCACAGTCTGGATGTAGTTTTTTCCTGTAGGAAGAAGAGAAACTTTTTTCTCATTAATTTATACCATATCTGTGGAATTAAGCTCGCACAGTCTATCTGTATTACATACCACAAGTTTACAAACAGCAACTGAAAAGCATCAGATTATCTGTTTCAGGAAAATATGCTTTAAATCTTCAATTTTATTCTCATAGACTAGATCTATACAGCTTAAAGAGGAAACACCACTTTCATTCTAGACAACCTTCATGTTGTTTCAGAAACATCCTTGTTCTTTTGGCTATTCCAATTTTTTTGATTTCATATTTCTTTGGGCTTTTAATCTGATTTGCTTCTTTTTTTTTTAGATTAAGTGACCATGTTGTATTATTTTTTTCAGTTTCTATTTACAAACACCCAAACTTTTACTATGCTTTTAGAGGAATCAAGTCTCTAGCATAACTTTGAAATGTTTTTTTTTGTTTGTTTTTTTTTTTTTTTTTACTGCTTTCATTACCAGAATTGGTATATCTTGTTTTCATATAAAAATCAGCAGGGTTTTGCTCAGGGCTTTGTAAAGTTTTTTTTTTTTTAAACCTTCATCCTAGCCTGCTTTGTGCATTTCACAATCTGTTCTTATGCATAATTTAAGGCATTACATTAATCAAGTAGATGTTGATGTGAGGTGAGAATATTCTTCCTCCTCATCCATTCCCCATGTGTAGCAAAAAGTCCCATACAATTGCTTGTTATGATCACTTTTTGTTTATTAATATAGGTTAATCTAGTTAAGATCCGTCTAATTTCTTAACATCCACCAGTTGTAAATAGACATTCAAATTGAATTAAATTCAATAATATTTCATTGATCACAATATTCAATGTTTTTATAACAACGTTTAGCATTAAGTTGTTCTATACTGTATGTTAATTGCTATAGCGAGGAAGGATCTTCTGTTGTGGTCTGTCTTACACTGAATTTGGAGAAGCCTCGATCTGAAGACGCAAGACAACAATACATTAAAACACTCAGGTGCTTACACAGTTCATAAAATCTGTTAAAATGAGGGTTCTAATTCATAGACACAGTAGCAATAAACAATAAGATGAAGAACAACCATCTAGTAATGCTATAATTATTGATGCATCAGCCACCATTAATATTGCTGCCATGTTTAACCTTGAAGCCTAATTTTGGCTGACAATAAAATGTTTCTACAGGAAGTGGTTGGATTGCCTCCATGGATTCAAAAAAATACATTTTGCCAGAAACTAACACACGTTAGCGTCGATACAGGAATACCTTGGACCAATGAAATGCAGTGACATGTATGACGTCAATCCGTCAACCAGAGGCAGAAGGCTGGAAAACCCTGTAATTATTGTTGAAAAACAAGCTAAAGGACACAATCATGCTTATCTGGATGGGAAACATGTTAGCCGACATGTTCTCCCGACCTGATTTGGTTAGAGTTTGATTTTTAGTTAACTGCACTAATTGTGAAGCAAATTAAGAAGGCTAGAAACTCAACATGGGAGGCATTTGCCACTTGGAGATTCAGCCAATCAGCTGTAAAAAGTGCACTGAAGGTCCCATCCATTTGCCAAAATTTTCCACAGGAACCTATCCAGATGCATACTGTCGAATTAAAAGCTAAGTTGAATTAAAAGCTACTTAGGTTGTATTAATCTGACTTATGCCAGTTTAGTTATATTAGCAGAATAGATGAAAAAGTGAATCAAGTTCTGACTAAATCTACACACAGAAATGGAGTGAATTACAAACAAATCCAAAGATAATATATTACCATGATTGGGGCATGTAAACTTATGATCAGAGATGTCTTTTATAGCCTGTATGCACTGACCTGGGCGAGCACCCTTCAGCTGTATAGCTTGTCTTATAAATGGTCCCAGTATGTTATTAATATCCCATTCTAAACATATAGTTCAAACTCTCATTGAGTTCCTGGGGGTAATCAATAAAGCCCACTTAACAGCAATCCAAGAAAAAGGCTTCAGCAGGGCTCACAGGCTGCTGGCTGAAGCAGCTATCATCACAACACAGAATTTAAGCCGTCTAATGTGATCAGTGTTTGCGTTTCCCCCCCCTTTTTTTTTCTTTTCTTTAACATTCAGTTATCAAACAGGATGAAAATGGATGTTATTTTCTTCTCTGGGAAGACAAAGACTAAAGAATTCAGAGTTATAAAGTGAGCTTTTAATTTCCTGCAGTTCGGAGCAGGACGTGTAAATGCAAAATATATTTTTCACTTTGCACTTTAGGTTTGCTGTTTTATGAACGTTAGCCATTAAGAATATGATTGACGTGGAAACTGTGCAGTGCAACCACAGGGTTTCATTATTGTCCAAAACACTAAAGATCCCAGACTGTGGTCCTTTTAATTTAACAGTGATTGTGAGAAATTCATTTGTGCGCCACAGACGGGATTCAATGCCTCCATTAAAGGGCATTCATCTTATTGCTGTGAGTATAATGGGTGAAAAATCAGACCCACTGTGCAAGGTTGAATTGTTTTAGCCAGCATGCATTTGGTTATTAAGAATAGCAGCAAAGAATTATGTAAGATATGTATCCATGATACGGTATGCAGATATTATTATTCTGCTGTCGACATTAATGTCTGTTTTTTTTTCCTTTGTTTTCCTGCAGCTGTCCAGAGAGAAGTTGAAGGTAAGGAAATGCATCAGATAATGAGCGCAAACGGAGAACGTGTTCTATTTTATGGTGATGTTCTTATTTGCAAAAGATATCACCATAGCATGTGTGTGAGACAGTGTGTTTGGCCTTTATAAAGTTGTTTTTTTTCAGTTTGGACTGCAGTTCCAACATCCAACAAATTAAGCTGAGCTGAGATATACTATCGCCGGTCACAGGGTCACAAAAAGGGAAAGTGCCTAATGTGCTGAATGCTCATTGTGTACATAATCAGCGCGTTCAAGGTGACTAAAGGTCTGCAGAGTGCGTGGGTGTTACACAATATGGGCAACATTCACAAACTACATAAAGTAGGAAAAGACAGCAGAGAGTTGTGTTTCCATTATATAAGAATCCTGCTATTTTCTCGCTCTGCATGACATGTTTTTAACATCTTAATGACTGTTAAAGGGTTTACTTTGCATAAGGTGTCATTACCTGGTAACGTCATCATGTCTTTAATATTAAACTTGAAATCATTTAATGAAAAATTACTGATCACTGAAACCAAAGCCTTCAACTCTTTGAAACAAGATTTCGAAATGTGTTTTTTCTTTATGGCAGGGTGGGTGGGGGTGCATAACATTATTTCAACCGTCCACATCTTGGTTTATAATGAGGTGCCCATACTGAGTGGAGATGAAGATTGAGTATAAGGTTGGAGATTTGTTTAGTCCACATCGGAGAGATACATCCATCTACCCCCAGAAAGGACCTGTGGTTCTGGTGAAAGGGCAGCCAACGGGCTCAGGAGACCAGTGCGAGGTGTGCTGCACTGGTGCACGATATAAATCACTGTTGCTGACACAAGATGCTAAACCTGTGCACACACACACCTGCTTTCTGAAGTCCTGCCTCAGGCTACTATTTGGCACATGAATCGAAGAACAGACAGAAAATTGCAAAATGGTGTTATTTTCATGCTTTGTTTTCGACATTCTGTGCGTTTAAAATTAGTTTTTTCACAAATGATGTTTTTTTTCATTATTTTTGACATTACAGACACAAAGCAGCTAAAAAAATGTGAGGTGGAAGAAAGATGAATGATTTTTGTTTTACATTAACTTAAAGAGAAAAACCTGAAAATGTGGCATGCCTTTTTTATTTAGCCCACTGTACTTTGACACCCCTGAATAAGAAAAATTTTTAGAGAAGGGAAATATAAAGTTAATATTTTATTAGGACTGAATGATGTTGCCATAAAATTAAAATAGTATTATTTATACAACCGATATTGCGATAGTCGTTTTATTTTCACTTTCCTTTGCACTCTACAAGCATGTAGATGTTTCACTCCAGGGTTTTATTGTTTTCATGACCTTGACAGCTTGCTTGTCATGTGGCAATTTTTGTAGGACTTTTCTGCTACTGTTGACTGAAACAGTGCCTTCTTCTACTAGCATGCATTAATCTGCGTGCAGCTGCAACTCTTTCAATGGTTTACTTTTGTTAAATGTTATGCAACCAAAATAGAATCCCTCTAAAAACTGTGTTTTGTTATATTATTAATATATTGCAAATACAATTATTGCTGAGCCTTTATTTTGATTTAATTCAGCTTAATTAAAAAAATTATAGTTTTTAAGGGAAAATCTTTGTATTTTTCTGTTGTTTTAAATTAATCAATACTGTTGAAAATCTTCCTTGCTCATCCAAGACAGGGCTGATCTACCAAAGTAGTTCAGGTCATGAGCGTAACGGATGCCAGAGCTGGTTTCCATCAGGTTTTCCTTTCCACAGTTAGTGAGCCAGCTTGCTTCTGTGTCATTGCTTTAACATTGAATGAGCTGCAACTCTTTCAATGTTTTACTTTTGTTAAATGTAATGTGACAGAAATAGAATCCCTCTAAAAACTGTGTTTTGTATATTATTAATATATTGCAAATACAATTAATTGCTGAGCCTTCATTTTGATTTAATTCAGCTCAGTTCAAAAATGTATAGTTATTGATTATCTATTTTATGAATATTTTTTTTTCTTTGTAAAATCATCTCCAGAGGTTTATGCTTCTTTAAGTAATTTGCTCTGATGCTGTTACCCCAGCAGACGATGGCAGAAGAGAGAGAACACTTTCTATTACTTATAGAAGATATGTAGAATCATGCTGCAAACACTAAAGGATCTTAGCTTCCTTAACAGTCCTCTCTGTCCCTTCTTAAAGACAACTTCACTGTTTCGTCTCCAGTCAGGAATCTGTCTTATACAAGAAGTGGGAGGTTTACAGAGTGAAATGAAATACTGAGTGAAATGAAATACTGAGAGTACCATTAATCTAGCACCTGTAGTGCTGCTGAGAAATATGCTCCTAATCCATTTTGCTCCTATGAGTGTGTGCCATAACCTACAAGCATATCCTTACAAACGAAACTGTTTAGATGTCTGTTTCTATGCTTTCTAAAGATTTAACAAACATTAGAATTGCTGCCCAGCCCTTAATTTTTTGGGTATAGAAACGATCAAATAGAGTTTACTCTTTAAATTAAAAAAAATATTTTCCTCACTATTTTCTCAGTGACATTAAATAGTACGGGGATTTGTCGTCGCTAATCCCAAACTATATATATCCTAAAAAAACCGGAAAGCTTTAACCAGAGAATCAGTCAAGAGTTCATTGAGAACTTTGCAGGATCTGCATGAATCCACAACTCAGTTAAAAGAATCTATCAAATATTTGGCGTGGTTTTTTTTGTTTTGTTTTTAATAAGGTGTGAAATAATAAAAGTCCCTTCTACTAATAGGTCATAACAGATTTTTAAATCATTTAAGGTTCAGAACAAACACCAGGGAGAGAAAATCTTGCAAAAAATCTGACAAGCTGCAAAAGATTGGGGGCAAAAAATACCCAAAACAGACACAGGCAGATATACACTGGAACAGTTTGAAGTGCAGTTTTTAGGGTTTTTGAATGATTCAGTCATAGTTTACACAATATCTTAAAATGATTCTTCATAGTTGTTGTTCTCCTTCTAATAAAATATATAAACTACATTTATTTTATTTTGATCAGAAATTAGTTTTTCTTCCATTTAACAATCATGAGCTGCTTTGTGTTGGTCTTATTAAATCAGCAACATTAAAACACAGTGGATATAAATTGTGAAATTCAAAATGATATGAATACTTTTGCAAAGTTCTGGAGCCCAAAAAACATGGCTGTAACAAGACAGATAGAATCTGTAATGTAGATTCTCTGTGCTGCATTGAAAACTTTGCCACAGAGTTATGTAATTTTTACCTTTTAAGTAACGTTTGCATTTTTTTTCATCCTAGCACAAAATGCGAAACAAAGCATTAATCATTCTTAATACGAGCAAAGATGGCAGGGCTCTGCTTACAGCTAAATTGCAGGGAATATCAAATGACATGCGCAAAAAAGAGCACATCAGAATGTTTATTGGATTAAAGCTTGACACGGAAACAATCCCCCATTGCAGAACGCATGAAAGCAACACTGACAAGAGAAAAACAACACATTCACCAGATGCCTCTTTTTCTGTCCTTCAAACCAGTTTCTGACAATGAGCCAGTATTTTCTGTTGCCCTTGCATCCACTGAAATAGACTGATCTTTATGTTACCTAAATCGCCTACTCCCGACAGAGATGACAAAGATGGTAACCCAAATGCTATATTTGGTCTTGGCTGTGTGTTTTAAGCAGCACAGGAGTAGTCTTTATTTGTCTGAGGAGCTGCTCTAAGATGGTGAAAACCTTTCGGATTAGCAGGTGAGTCCTCTGAGTTGTCCGTCTACTTTATGCGGCACGTGAGCTTGCATTGATCTGTCCTCACAAAGGCCACGGCGAAGCACGCTCGGCTGGTGAAACAGTGCAGCAGCCTTTGACGTACTGCACAATCTGTGAAAAAGAGATAAGCGCAGCCACCACATGAGAGAAATAGAATGAGAAATCACTCAAATATATAGAAAAATACCTACACAGCTAGTCACTTATGTATGAAAACACATGGTAATAATGCAATTATAGTTAGAAGGATGACAAAGCAAGTGCTAAAGTTTGTGAAGGAAAGGACAGAGAGTCCTGATGGACTTGTATTTTGCAGCAGCAGTGACCTTGGTTTAATCTGTCATTACTTGTAGCCCCCTAAACGCTGTATTATTATTTTATTTTTGTGGAAAAAACACATTTTGGTAAATCCTAATCCTGCACCACTTCTTTCTTCTCAGATGAGCGCTAATTAAAGCCACAACAATGAGGCCTTTCAACATCTGCATCGGTTTTGATGTTGTTTTTAATTAAACTTGAAGAGATAATTGTTTTTACACCATAATTGGGGTATCATAAAGGGTAATGCTGAGAGAAAGCCTGAAAAGTACTAGTAAGAGTCATTTTCAGTTTAAGCAGGCATGTAAACATTTTCCTTCTTAGGCAAATATTTTAGATTGCTCAACTTCTTCTGCCATTATTGAGTTATACGTGAAAAGAAAAGCATTTTAGGCACTACAGTACAAAGGCAAAAAAAAAAAGTTTTCGTTTAAAAGAAAGCAAAGATTTTTATTTTTTAAGGGAAAACCTTTGCTTTTTTTTGTTTCAAATTAATCAATACTGTTGAAAATCTTCCTTGCTCATCCAAGACAGGCCTGATCTACCAAAGTAGTTCAGGTCATAAGCGTAACGAATGCCAGAGCTGGTTTCTATCAGGTTTTATTTTCCACAGTTAGTGAGCCAGTTTGCTTCTGTGTCATTGCTTTAATTAAAACATCTCTTCCAGTAAATGTTTTATCCTCTGTCTTGTTATATTCTGATTTGGTGTACAGGATCAAATTGCAGCAAAACAGTTTAACAGTATATTTCAAATTATTTATCTAATTTTCCCTGCAAACAGATGTCCTAATATCATCAGCCTTATTTATTCATGTTAAAAACAACAATCTGTGTTTGTGAACCACAGTCATGACCAGCTGCTCTCTGATTTGCTTTTAGAGAAATAGCTGAAAATTGTTATAAAACAGAGCGTTTCAGACAGAACTTATTAAAATATTTGCAGCAATAATAAAATGTAGAAAATATTTGTGAAACTTACTTAACCTTTTATGTGTCTAATCTTACTGTATAAAAGTCTTACCTTGAGTGATGCAGATTAAAGGTCAAAAACTCAGGAGATTGCACATGGTGCTGCTGATATTTTGATTGGTTATTGGTTTTTTATGACCCTATCTTTAACTCCTGTTATTTTTCTCATGTAGCTAAGTTTTTTTTTTTACCTGGATCAGTTCTTTAAGTAACAGATTTGGTGTCTGAAGGTGGAAAATAAGGAACCTGTTCTAAACAAGCAGTGACTCCAGTTTACTGATGAATACACCAGCTTTGGTGATAATTGGGATATGGCTGCAGTAGCCCTTTTTTTTTTTACATGTTCAGTTTACATAGTTAATGCATATGGGTGTGAATTAGAGAAGCACTGAACTTAGACTTGTGGGTGATTTCCTATTGAAATTGGCATCTCAATCTCTAAACATTACAAATTGACAGCAAATAACCTTTCGTTTAGTTTCGAAATAAATGAAACCTGATCTGAACTCTGAAATTTTCAAAACACAAGTCTTTTTCACATGTATTTCCTCTGCAAGAGACCTTTTTTTTTTTTCATTAATGCTAAAGTTGACAACAAAATTTACATAGTGTTAGCAATCTAGAAATATATATAGGAATGAATTATTTTGTTACTCCTCAGGTCACATTTTAAAACCTGCTCTGAAGCATCAGATTTTAAAAAATAAATCTGCATCTACAACAACTTCGACACTGAAGGGTGTTTCTCCTTGGACAGACTGTTAGTACTATGGTGTAGTGCATTAGCCTGTTGGGTTTTAATCATGCTACTTAGGTTTAAAATTGTCATGTGAGCACACACACAATAAGACTTAAAAAAAACACGACAGTTTCTCAAGACAAAACTCAGTGACATTAATTCACTAAGCAGATGACACTGCTTATTTTCCTTTGTCTTGCAGGAAAAACAAATAATTTGACATACATACACCTAACCCTATATATATATATATATATATATATATATATATATATATATATATATATATATATAAATAAAACATGGAAGAAGGATTCTAAGCAGCCCTTCTAAGTAGTTTTATTCAGCTGTTAAGAGTTGCTTCTTATTTAAAACTAGAGAGCTGGTAGGTTATGGATGGGGAGAGCAGCTTATTTCCTCAGTCTTTCGCCTCTGCTGGGACTCTACAGGTCTGAGCCAGTTATCTCTGCATTTCCACACACTAAGATTTGGGCAGAAGTCACAACAAAGTAGGCACACATTTAATAGCTGGCCGCCTCTATAAAAGGGCAGGAACGACACCTCTCCTAATCCACCCCAGTGTTCTGAAATATGGTCAGAGATTTACTGCACTGACTGGGGCATTTGCGAGGCGACCACCTTGAGTTGTTTTCTACACCTGCGTTTCATACAGATGCAGGTTGCTCTTAATTTCTGCTATTTAATGTTTCGTGTTTTTGTTAAAACACCTTCAGCTTTTATCATGAAAAAAGATGGAGGAGGATATCAACTAAATCTTAATCCAGTTATGTTTAAAGGAGAGAAAAAAGCATTTTATTTTTACTGTAGGCTTCATACAACCCAGTCATCTTGAGAAGAAATAAACCTTTGATCTAAACATGTCAAAACCAACTAAATAAACCTTAATAATGAAGGTGAAGTCAGAATATTGTCTCCAATCCGAGCAGCAACAAAATGCTTGGAAGCAGTAGAAGTGTTAATATGACTCTGCTGTGTGAAATCCTAGTGGTATGGCTTCTTTTATTCTGCTGCTGTTTGTTTTCAGGAATGCAGAATAATTTACATAGCAGAGCTTTGCAGCAGACTTAAAACAAACTTTTATTTTTACTCCTTCTGGTGGCTGGGTTGATGCATAGATTGGCCTGTCATGTGGATTGCACAGCCGCAGTGTGGGTGCACACAGCAGCTCTTTGTCTGCTATGCAGACTGGGCTTTGGCTGAATCCTTGGAGTGAGCAGAGGCTCAGTCACTGGCTTTGCAGTGGCACACTCTATCAAAAGCCTACGTGTTGGCAAGCGTGGACCCTCCCAGGGGTAATTATGTTCATTCCACACTTAGAGCTGCAGCATTAATAGCCTTGTTCAGCTGTACATATGAGTAGATTTCTGCAACCTGGCCCTTCTTAAAGTTTTAACTAATGACTATAATAGGGCGATAGTAGTAATGTAAGTAAGTAATGAGAAGTGTGAATGACTTTCTGTACAGTGCTAATTCGCTGATGAGAGTGTTTACTGGCACAGTGAGCTCATATCCACAGCAGAAGGAGCAAGTGATGCAAAGAGTGTAATTTTTGACTGACCTATTGAGATATCTCTGTCTCACATGTGTGTGAGATAGATAGGGATGCAGAGCAAAGGTGTACAGGAATGTAATTCACGCTGTTTTGCTCTACATACTAATCTTGAAAACCCCTAAGGATTGTATCCATTGTCAGTTGAAAAAAGGTGCCTCTTTACTTTGCATTTACTTTCCTTTGGGATGAATCGTGTCGCTCCTTCCCTTTTACAGGGCGATGATAAACCAAGGTCTAGATAAACACAGCCACGTAAAAAAACATTCACACCCTTTTAACTTTTGCATGTTTAATCAGGTTACAAACACCAACTTTAATGTATTCTAATAAGATATTGTGCAACAGATCAGTGAACAAAAATCAGATCATCGTCAAATGTCAATGTTTCATTTTAATGAATAAGTCTTTATTTAGCATCACTTTTATGGCCCCAGATAAGTAAAACTTCACATAACCCCAATAAGCTTTTCTCACGGTTAAACATAGTGGTGGCAGCATTGGCCTGTGGGAGAAAGGATGGAAAGCATTTAATTCTAGCAATCCTTTGAAAAACATCTGATAGTCTATGAAAGAGCAGAGGCCAGAACATCTTAAACTGGAACTAAGGTGGGATGATTTAGATAAAAGCATGTTTGGGTGTTTCAATGTCCTAGTCAAAGTTTAAACCTAAATGCAATTAAGGATCCTGCAAGACTTAAAAAAGTGATACTTACTAAGTGATGTTCCTCTCGGGCATTGGTGAGTGGATGAATACAAATGCAAGCCACACTTTTCAGGTTTTTAAATGTTTTTAAACCATTTTTTTCTCCTGCCAAAGCACCATTAAGCATTGACTTGTTAGGTAGAATCTAATAAAAAATATATGAAAGTTTTTTTTTATTTGACAAAAAGTGGAAAAGTTTTGGAAGACACTTTAGAAATATGCTGGAAGGCTGCAAAAGAGATCATAAAACTGACGCTCACCATGTGTGAGTAATTTACATGAAGTGTTTTTGATACTAAGTCGGTTCTATGTATAGTAAACACATCCCAAACGTCTGCATTAAATAAACATACAATATGTGTTCCATTGGAAAAAAGCATCTGTGTGAGCAACTACCTGTGAGGGTTGCGCCGGTCAAGATGTTTTTTTCTCTCCTTGCCTCCCCTCTTCTCCCTTGAGATGTTTGTCTGTTTGAGTTTAATTTTCCCCTTATATTTTAGTTTGAACTTTGACATCCGTACCTACCCCCAAGGATGTCTGTCACAAACTGCAGTCCAACATTGTGACAATGCTTTTGTTCTCCCGAACCTCTTTATGAACTTCCTGTTTTCGTATCCTTTTTTCTGTTCTTTCCCTCAAGGTCTGGCGCACCTGATGTTAAACCGCCAAGGTATGGGGTCTATTGTTTTGCTTTTCCCTCCCAGCCACCTGAACACCCAGAGATCATTCAGTTTACTGTGCTGCACTAATATTTCCTCTCCTCTTTTTGTTTATTTTGACATATACTTGCCTGCTCATTTTATGCTTCCTCTCATGTTATTCTCACTACTCACTCAATATTTGTCCGTCAAACCCTTGTCCTGACCACTGACTGAGCTACTGGAACATCTTCATCTCTGCAGTTTTACGCCAAGGTAATGCTTCTATGCTAATAGTTTCTTCAGTTTGGTTTCATGGTGTTTTCATAAATGAAGAGCAAAGGTTTTACATCCCAAAAGTAGCTTTTCCAGTTTTAAAACAATCAATACAGATAATTGTATCCTAGTTGGAATAAATTCTTGCATTAAGTCTTTGTGCTATTTTTCATTCTCAGGGTTTCATTCCAAAACTGCCCAGAATTCTCACTGAGTTGCTTATGATCATTGATCAGCAGGGAATTTCAAAGCTCGAATGGAAGAGAAATCATTACCTTGGGGAGTTTCGCTAATAAAGACTACCAGCCCAGCGATACACGCTTGGCAATGATGCTGTTTATCATTTTTCATACTCTTTAGAAAGCCTGTATTAAAATTAAGCCAGTAGTGAGAGTAAGACCTTGGAAGGCAAGTATGCATCTGAAGGGGAAAAAATTTGCTAATTCAATTCTGTTACATATTTTTAAAGTGATTTGTAAGTGTTTTTCCTTATGTTAATCATTGTTTTTGTCACTCTTAAATGTTAAAGATAATCAAATACATTTTAATATCAAGGGTAACCTATGTAAAGACAGTGTTGATTTAAAAAAAAATAACATAATTAAAATTAGCATAACATTATGTGAAAAGGCAATTGAGCATGCATTATCCATTGTTTTAATAAGAAGCTGTGGTATATTTCAATAGCCATTAACAAAATAGAAAGCTGCCAGAATTGCGACAGGATCTTCAGAAATTCAAGGAAAGTTGCAAAACAGAATAGACAACTTTTACCTAAAAAAGGTCTGCAAAGCACTTTTAAAGCACTTCAGTAAACCACAGAAAGAGCACAAATAAAGATGGAAACAGAATAGTGCTGAAAGTTGCCAGGAATGGTTGATTATGCCAAACCAGGACTCATTGACGATTCATTCAGGTTTTAAAGTAACCCTGTACAACATCTACAGCACGGCAGGCTTCACTTGCATTATTGGTCATACTGTAGATCAACAAAAAGACACTGAAAGATCAGATTCAACGTAGGAAATTTGGAAACCTTAGAGTTAAATTCAACATTTTTTAGTGTCAAGATTGGTCCACACCAGATCAAGTTAAAGTAGCACTTTTAAAAGAATTGAGCAATTATTACTTTGACAGAGCTGGAACTTCTAATAGATTTAATTCAAGACTAGTGTATATTGTCAAAGGTTAATAATACACAAGCTGTACAAAGAATCATTGGGAAAGAAAACTCAGCAAAATGTGGAAACAGTGGAAAACTTTGCATTAGGTGTAAAACAAACAAAAGATCAAAATAATTTGATCAAACCATTGACTCTGTTATCTATCAATGGTATCCAGATCATTAAGCTGAAGCAGACTAGGCACTACAGCAGCAGAATATTGACCAGAAACACACAAGCTATAAATGGCAAAATAATCGACTGAAATATATTCAAATAAAAGAAAAAAGGCAGGCTTGAATTCGAAGAGATAAGGTGGCATGGCCTCAAACAGACTGTTCTGTTTCAAAACCCTAACCTTGTGCTGTAAGCTGGATTGTCGTGAGATCTGAGTTTTCAATATCGCAACAACTGATAACGTAGATCTCAACTCAGTTCTACACATATCAATCTGGCTACTGCCAGATTATGAAGATCCACCTCCGTCAGTGAATTAAAACAAAACAGAAAAGCAGAGATTGATGTGAAAGACTTGATACAGTTATAATAACAGCTGCTTGTTTAGCCGATTTTCCATTTTTCTGTTGAACTCATGCAGTTCAGATTCTTTTTCCAAATTATTTTGTATTATTTTAGGTAGG